ATTACATTTAAATCAAAACCCTTCCATAATTCAGTCTGTAGGGTAGGCGAAAGTATTCAGGTAGTAATGCATGCCATCAGCAAATGCTCGCTGACAAAGTTCAGAGGATCTTCAGAGGGTTACTAAGAAACAACCGGCTAGCGATTATTTGGCATGTTGGCTGAGTCAAATCCCTTCATTCCTCAGCATTACTTCAGCTCTGTTTGCTACTCAGCCCATGCCCATGCGAGGCAGCTTCAACAAATTTTTACAGTTTTTGTGAACTTGGCTTGATCTGTTTTGTGTTAGATTTTACGCCGTTTAAAAAAACAGTTTTGAATCTACGGAAATTTAATTAACCCATGCGACTGGCAATTTTTTGATAAATGTGCTGAATCAAAGCGAGAAGTAAACTTTGCAAGACGGGTAACGCTGTTTGATTTAATGGCAGTTACTCTGTGTCATGAAATGACACAATGAAAATTACCATCTGATCAGTTGCCTCCGGAAAAGACATAGTAATCATGCAGTGGAACCGATCTGCAGAAACTGAGTGCTGTTAGCCAGGGTATACAGGCTAAACATAACCGCACTTAGCACCTCAATGGATCCCAGTGAAAACACTAAAAACTTATCTTCAACAGTCCAAGGTATTCTGGTGAACTGAGATTTAAAAGATAGCTAAAACTTTTGCCTGGATGCTTAAATAGGCTAAAAAATTATTGCGACGAAAATATCCAGCAGAAGATGGGAGAAGAAAGAAAACAATCCCGGAAAAAATCTTCGTTCCTAGGCACCTGATTCTGATAAAATACTCCACACTGAGTGGTGCGTGCAATGTTAGTTTTGAAGGCTAAAGACAAAAGGAGCTATACTCATCCAAAAATTTGCAGTGGACGCAGTTTCTCACCATCGAAACTTTTTATATGCAGATGGTTATAGCTATGTAGTCATCTTTAAGGTGTGCATCAAATTATTGGGAAAATACAAGAATAATTCTTTGTATGTGGAAGATGCGTCAATTCATTTTGGCTGGCGCTGACGCATGCCAGACAATCAAACCCACCATCGACTTTTTTCTAAGCATGCTTGAGAAAGGCGGCC